AATTTCACAAGCCTAGAATTGATCATTTATGTTTTATTCTTGTTAAGAAAGTTCTTACTCAGCAGGCATATCGAATTCAATTACTTCAGCAAGGTCGATATTCAGTACCATGGCGAAAGGAGTTTAAGAAAGAATGGAAACGACTTGAGAAGCAAAAAACATAATTAAATAATAAGTACTTTACAGATACTACTAAGTGGATATGTGCATGTCCTGCATATAGCCTGAGTCGTTTTTTTTTATGCAAGCATCTGGTTAATTCCGTTGAAAAAGTTGATTTGATGTTCTTTAAAAAGGCAAGTAATTATTTATTTATGATTTATTATATATATGTCATATTATTTTATATTACCGTTACAGGTGCAACGAAATGAAAATTATCCATTAATATTTTCATATGAAGGCAAATTGGTAAACATGTTTAACTTGGAAGATTCGCAAAATCGTGAAACTTTAATTTTCCCATTAATTCAAGCCCAACTTATTGAGCATGAAGACGATTATATTATTGAAGATAGCGATGATGAGCAAGATATGTATGAGTCAGAATTGGCATATTTGCATAAAGTCTTAGACAAGGTATTTAAATTTCGTTAATTATTTTTTTTTAAAAAAATAATAATAATAATTTAATTGCATTTTAAGACCAAGGAGTTTCTAGAAGAATCCCGTACCAAGTCAAAAAGACATTTATGGCTAAAAAATATTCGTCCAAATTTTAAATTTCTGGAAAAAATGAATAATGACATTCTATCACTAAATAACCGACGAACGATGCCAAGAACATGGCAAGACTTTAATAACAATACGATGTATTGGGAATGATAAACTTTTAAGCATTATTTTTTGCGACAAGCAATTAGGGATGAAAGTGTATTTCTAATTATAATAGTCAAAAGAATATACACCTAGTATTTTGCAGCGAAAATAAATGTAACTGAATAAGTTCGTAGGGTAACAATTTGTTACTTCGATTAAATTTGCTGTTTATTAGCATTAGTACAATCAAACTTTCTTACATTTGTAAAATG